GGAGTTTTGGAGGAAGTCTCGCACGAAATGCGTTTTTGAGAGATAGCAGATGCACGAAAGCCTATGTTTTTCCATACAAAGTCCGTCCCCGAACCTCGATGACTCTGCGGTGCGACGGGTGCGAGACGGTCTCGTGTGTGGTCGGATCATGGTCGGATCATGGTCGGATCGGTCTCGGATCATGCTCGGACCATGGTTGGATCGGTTCCGCATTGTAAATGGGGTTTCAAGTGTTTTTCGTGCATGCGCGGTCGACAGAATTCCATTGTGATTTGCAACTGTAGGATCGTTCCCGCATTGTAAATGGGATTGCAAGTGGTGCTGGTGGAGGAGTTGCCGATGGAGTTTTGGAGGAAGTCTCGCACGAAATGCGTTTTTGAGAGATAGCAGATGCACGAAAGCCTATGGTTTTCCATACAAAGTCCGTCCCCGAACCTCGATGATCTACCTCTGCGGTGCGACGGTTGCGAGACGGTCTCGTGTGTGGTCGGATCATTCTCGGATCATTCTCGGATCGGTTCCGCATTGTAAATGGGGTTTCACCTGTGTTTCGTGCATTTGCGGTCGACAGAATTCCATTGTGATTTGTAACTGTAGGATCGTTCCCGCAATGTAAATGGGATTGCAAGTGGTGCTGGTGGATGAGTTGCCGATGGAGTTTTGAAGGAAGTCTCGCACGAAATGCGTTTTTTTCTCCATTTTGGCGCTAGTCGCTAGTGAATTTCCTTCTAAAAATCCTTTTAAAAAGTGCTTCAAAATCTTCTTTTTTTCGCTCTGGCGTCGAGATCCGGTTTTGAAGCTACAATTTCCGACGCCGTTGCGCGTAGTTCTATTGTGTTTTGCAACTCAGTCTCTGCAGATCGCATTGTGATGGCTGCGTCAAGGTTGCTTCATGCTGTGGCTGCATGCGTTTAATACTATTGTCTTTTGCAGCTGGACTTCGTAAATCGTATTGGAGTGGCTGCATGAAGGCTGCGACAGTGATTTGTCAGCAGATTTTCTCCATTTTGGCGCTAGTGATTTTCCTTCTATTTTTTTTTTTAAAGTGCTTCAAAATCGTCTTTTTTTCGCTCTGGCGTCGAGACCCCAGTTTTGGAGCTACAATTTCCGACGCCGTTGCGCGTAGTTCTATTGTGTTTTGCAACTCAGTCTCTGCAGATCCTATTGCAATGGCTTCGTCAAAGTTGCTTCGTGCTGTGGCTGCATTTGCAATACTATTGTCTTTTGCAGCTGGATCTCGGAAATCGTCTTGGAGTGGCTGCATGAAGGCTACGAAATAAATTTGTTAGCAGATTTTCTCCATTTTGGCACTAATGTTGTTTTTGTTGCACGTAGGTTTAGAGCAGTGTGAAGTGTGGGGCGTAAAGAGTGCAGTGTGAAGTGTGAAGTGTGAAGGAATCAGTGGGAAGTGAGAAGTGTGAAGTGTGGAGTGTGAAGTGTGAAGTGTGAAGTTTCAGTTTGGAGCGCGAAGAGCGCAGTGTGAAGTGTGAAGTGTGAGGTTTGGACTGTGAAGGAAGCAGTGTGAAGTGTGAAGTGTGGAGTGTGAAGTTTGAAGTTTGGAGTGCGAAGAGTGCAGTGTGAAGTGTGGAGTGTGGAGTGTGAAGACTTTGCTTCGTCTCTCGCTGAAAAAATCAAACGGTTGTCGAGGGAAGGACACGGTCGGGACAGGGTGTCTTTGAACTATAGGTCATTTATGTTTGGGAAACTTCCGCCGCCGGCTTGCCCGGGTCTATGTCATGATATGGCTTGATATGGAGATATACTGAAATATACAACAAAAATGAGTAGGGTATATGATTTGGCTGAGGCTGTGACATCACATATTCATATAGTATCATATAGTCATATGGATTATGACATCAGCTGTCTGCCCAGGTTGTATTGGGAGTGGGGTGCAGTACCCTATCTCAGCGAGATTTCCAGAGGCCGTGGCAAGCGAATCTGAAGCCAAAAAAACAGCCCGAGTGAAAACTTGCCGAGTGGTGACTTCTTGAGGTAGTGGCGAGCAACATCATCCACGCACATTCTAGAACGATTTTTGCACGCACACTTGTCCCGAAAACGATTGGAAAGGAACCCATCAATCAACAAAGTGGGCCACATATCGATGGAGAGAGTGATATCATATACACATGATGAAGTCATATGAAATCATATGACGTATTCTATTTATATATATAAATATGTATACATGTGTATATATATATATTATATCTATCTATATAACATATTCAAGAATTACTTCCATCTGATTCTCTTAGGACATTCCTGCTAGCCATGTCACCGTCGTCGGACTTTTTTGTTAGGGCGCACCGTGCTCATCAGCTCCGCGGACGGCGGGGTGGATGTGGAAGACGCCTCCAAGACCATTTCTGGAGAGGTGAGCTGAGCCAGGGAATGCATCGGACGTCAAGTGGTTATATAAACTTTTATGTGACCCATATGTGAGACTACATTGACTACATGGTTATTAGCTATATAAAGTTATATAGGGGCTAACGCTAACTGAGTTATGTATATATACTGTATGTATGTATATATATATATTATATACATAATGTATGTATATATATATTATATGCACAGAGAAAGTGAGACACACACACATATATAATAATAATAATGATAATAATAATAATAATATTAATAATAATAGTAATAATAATAATAGCAATAATAATAACAATAATAACAATAATAATAATAATAATAGTAAATAATAATAATAATGATAATGATAATGATAATAATAATAATGATAATGACAATGATAATGATAATAATATAACATAATTTAATATAATATAATATAATATCATATAGTATAGCATAACATAATATAATATAATATAATCTAATATAATATAATATTACATAATATGATATAATATAATATGATATAATCTAATATAATATAATGTGTATACGTATGAGTATACAGACTATCCCATATCTTGGATGGTGTTGCTAGCCACTTTGTAACTGGGCAGCAAGTTGATTTCCATCAGGGCCCATGTCAGGTGGAGTCCATTTCCAGTGACTGCATTGTGGTTGTGACTCAGCAGGATCCCCAGCGATGAAACCTGTCATTTTTCGGCCTTGGTTGCAGCAACCTTTGGACTGAGGTATGAGCGTTTGCCCTCTGGGAGGTGGTGAGCTCGTGACTCTTCCACCAGTGATGAAACGCACACACGATTTGGCATTTCATCATGAAAACAATAACAATAGTAATCGTCATAATAGGTAACAATGAACTTCTTATTTTACAGTAATATGTGTATAACATATCATATGATATTTTTCTGCTTATTGTTGCCAAACTAGTATTATTTTTTAAATGATGATTATGAAAAAAACAAGCAGTCATCACACATATATCTCTGTCACTTCTACATGTCGTACATGCCATGCACGCTGCAGGCGTGGCCGGAACCAGCACTTGTTTCGCCTGGAAACCCAGGGAACCCAGGATTATCACTGGGATAGTTATTATAACTTTACCATTACATTGTCTACTAGAAGCTATAGTCATCCCAATTAGATCACTTACTTTTCTATCATTTTTTTGGGGGATTGCTATATATATACAGTAACTGTTCCAAAATGGCCGAAGTCTGGTTTGTGAGTTACTGGACGGGCATTTTTGTTAGTCATTTTGCAGATGGTCATCAAATGTGGACCCGAGGAGTGGATCTGGGACCCAACATCGTGGCATACAAACGTGCCCTGCCTCAGTACTCCGGAGAGCCCCCGGGATGGCCATGGATTGGAGAAGTTTGGGCCTGGCTGAACTAATTAAACGACCTAACACACACGCGCACACACACATATTATATATATTTATATATATATATACATATATTAATATATATGTTACCTGTACATGTATGCCGATATACATACATACATACATACATACATACATACATACATACATACATACATACACACACACATATATATATATATACACACACATAGAGACACGCACTAAATACAAGCAACCTAATGGCAAAACCAATGGGCCATTGGTCACACATTCTTTAGCCGTAGCCGCCATAGTCGCGTGTGAACCTTATCGATGTCCTGTAGTATGTTTGGGAGTTCAGGCGTTTCTCAAAGGGAAGACCCCCGGCCAAATTGGGGATCGCTTGTGAGTTTGTTTTACCATTTGATGCTGGTACCCTCCGGTAATCGAACAGGGCAATTGAAGATGCCCCATTTAGTTTGATTTTCCCAGCTAGAAGCCTCCATTTAGTTCAGGCATTTTCCAGCTAGCCACATCTGATGACCAGAGGGCATTCCATTTAACATCCCATTATAAACCATTATTAACCACTATCAATCATTATTAATCCATTATTAATCACCCATCATCATCATCATCAATCACCCATCATCCTCAATCACCAGAGGGTTCCTTCCATCCAGCTTGGTATTATGGAATTTGACCTCCACAGTACGCAGTTGACCCCGGCCCCCGCGGACGTTCTCAAGAAACAGCGGATGCGCCGCGCTGGGCGGTAGCGGTGTGCGCCAACAGTGGCGCCAGGTGCGAAAAGCATTGGTGTTCCCGGGGTTTCCATAAATGTTGGTCCAAAATGGATGGTTTATAGTGGAAAATCCTATGAAAATAGATGACTTAAGGGTACCCCTATTTCAGGAAACCTCCATATATGTCAATACGATTTTAGCAAGATTTTATTTCTGCTACATGTGATGAGATCCTACGAGTTATGAGTTGTGTTTAGACCATCATTTTTTTGCGTATAATTTTCCGACAAACCCAAGCAGGTGTGTCTGAGAATGGTTACGCGATGTTACGCGCACCAAATAGTGCTGTTCCAATCGGCATCGGCTTTCGCGGGCACCCTATTTTCAGAGAAACCCGCATGTTTTTACCAGACTTGCCATGGAATTTACAGGAAACTCACCGGATATTTTCAAGTTGTTATGGTAGACAGGCCCCTCCCATGCAGCAAATGCAGGCCGCGTTGCCCATGGGTTTCGCCCGGGGGCTGCTGACTGCGGTCTTGGCACGGAGTTGTGACTTGTCATGGCCTGGAGTAAGGGAACATTTCGCAAAACCATGCGTCCACCCGGTCCACCATGAGTTTTCATGAAATTATGCTGGATGGAATTGGTTTAATAAATAACATTCCAATAACGGATTCTAAATGGATAGATAGATCGGATAGTTCTTTGGGTGGTATTTAAGAAGAATCTTAGCGCGCAGGATATTAAGTGGGTTGATGGGGACATAGCCATAGCAAGCAGCCAGGCGGAATTTACTATATCAGAAAATGGGTTACAGTAAAGATTAAAGTTCATTTTTCCATCTAACAGGGATGATGATTCCAATTTTATGAATCTTTTTTTTGGGATGGGTTGGAACGGCGGCTGCAACCAGACTATGAATTTGCTCAGTTCGTGCTCCTTCTCGTGGAAATTCTCGCAAGAAAACGATATCTTGAAATGGAGGTCCATGATCCTCTCAAATGGGATTTGCCACGCACTCTTTGCTTCAGACCTTGTGACCCATTCGCTAATCAAAGGCCTCTGGATTTTCCCTAGTGAAATTGTTATGTTAGGTGTAGACAGGACCCATTCTCAGATGCCATGTTGAATTTAGCCGGGGCAGATTGATGCAGGTTATGTTGGGTGCATGTCTTCTCAGGTGCTGGCCTATTTTTTGAGCTGAAATCAGAGAGTGCTGGACCACCAGATCCTTTGCATGCAACTCATAGCTCTAGATGTCCAAAGTTTGCTTCCAACTGATCCCAAGTTGGGGCTCCATCCAGAGGTGTCATTGCGATTTTCGCAGCTAACTGCCTTTTCTTGAGTTTGTCAAGATGGAGATATGTTGATTTCAGCTTGGCATTGTCCAAAACTTTGGGCGATCCAGTTCACAGCATTTTGATTTCTTGAAGGTGATTTATTCTAGAGTTTTGGGGATGTCTTGTTTTTTTTTTTGGTTTGACTTTGACTCCAATAATTCACCATAAGTCGTCAGCGATTAAGTCACCAAATTCTTCGCCGAGGAGTGCTTCAAGGTGACCCCCGGGAAGGGTCACTCCGTGCACGGCAGCTATGAAGCGGACGGGCCCAGCGAGGGCCTGGTCGTGAAGCTCACCACAGCTTCTGGGAAGGCCCAGCGACCGAAATGGAGGCGGTTAAGAAATGGTGGTATTTTTCACGGTTAATGATGAGTTAATGGCTCATAGTTGATAATTTTCATGGTTAAATGATGAGCAATCATGAAAATCATAAGCCATCATTGTAATATTTCGGTGAATGATCATTAGCAAAGATGATTATATAATCTGGTGTGTCCCAAACCCAAGAAGAGATAGCAGTTGTGACCAGAAAAATGGTACCAGCACCAGCCAGGGTGTTCGACTGACCAAAGACCCAGTTTCTCTGTGACAGGAGCTGTTTCGAAATGTGGGGGTGCCTAGGGCGGAGCAGCAACCGGAAATGTCACCCATTGGAAGCAACTGCTGGTGGTGATATTGGATGATAGCAAGGGGGTTCTCAATAGCTGGGGGATTCCCCCAAGTCACCATGGCTTTCAATACCCTCTGGTAAACAGCCACAGTTCGCTATTGAAAATGGCCCAGTCGAAATAGTGGATTTAACCATAAAAAATGGTGATTTTCCATAGAAATAGTGGATTTACCCATTAAAAACAGTGGATTTACCCATTAAAAATAGTTTACCAAAGGGTAGCTGCAAGGTCATCAAGGTCCTCAAGTCATCAAGGTCTCACCAGCTGAGATCCCATGCCGAGGTCAACCCCTCAGGCAAGTTCACAGTGGAGGCGACCGGGCGCGTTGGCGGAGGGTTTTTCTCCACTTTGCTCAACTACCTCTAGGGCAGAGTACGGAGCCGAAACGTATGTATGTATACACACACACACACACCAACACACACACACACACCAACACACACACACACACCAACACACACACACACCAACACACACCAACACACACACCAACACACACCAACACACACACCAACACACACCAACACACACACCAACACACACCAACACACACACACACCACACACCAACACACACCAACACACACCAACACACACACACACCACACACACACTCACCAACACACAGCCAGCACACACCAACTCACACACACACACACACCAACCAACACAAAACAACACCAACACACACACACACACCAACACCACACACACACATAGCATCACACACACACGACCAAAACACACAGCACACAGCCACAACCAACATCACACACAGCAGCCAAGACACACACCACAGCACCAACACCACAGCACAGCCAAACAAGACAACACACATCCAACACACCACCAACACCGCACACACAGCCAAACATCACACACTACTACCAACACACACACACTACATCCATACACCACACACACACCACCAAACACACACACACACCAACAGCACACACAGCGACGACGCAACACACACACACAGACCAAGCCACACATCACACACAGCACAACCACACACACAGCCACACACACCAAAACAGCACTTACTACACCACCAACACACACCACACACCCGCACCCAACACACACACGGACACACCAAACACACACCACACACACACGAAAACACACACACACACCCAAACAACACACCACACACAAAACAAACCACTACACCAAGCCAACAACCACACAAAACCAAACACACAACGATCACACCAACAATACACACACACACCACACACGGACACACACACCACACACCAACACACACACACACCAACACACACGACCACACACCAGACCACACACACACCACCAACCACACACACACACAACCAACACCACACGCACTTACACACCCAACACACACACACAGCTCAACACACCACATCACACAACCAAACACCCACCACACACCATACACACCACACAACCACACCAACACAACACCACACACCAACACACACACACACCAACACACCAACACACCAACACACAACACACACACACACACACACACACAACACACAACACACCAACACACACACACCAACACACACACACACACCAACACACACACCAACACACACACACACCAACACACACACCAACACACACACACAAACAACACACACACACAAACAACACACACACATATATATATATATATGTATATTGATATATGTATATATAGTGGCACATCCCCAAGATCACTGATTTAGTCCTCTTCCCAGTAAAGATCATTTTGGCAAAAACAAACATTTTGGGAGTCCAAGGGCACACACACAGATATATATATATATATCCTTGCATCCATTCCACAACTTCAGAATCATTCTGATGAAAGGGATTATTATTGCGATCACCTGCTGCGTTCATGATGTGGATAATCACATAAGCCCTTTTCCAGATTCCCAGGATTGCAACTGGGAGTGGCTCAACTGGTTGGCCCCCAAATGGATGAAACATCTATCTATCTCACTATCTCACTATCTTACTATCTACCTATCTACCTTTCTACTTTACTACCTACCTATCTATCCATCCATCCATCTATCTATCTATCCATCTATCTACCTATCTGCCTATCTGCATTATATATATACACCTATATTATATACACATATGATATTTATATCTGGATATCTGGATATATATATATATATTATATCTACATTTCACCAACGGAGCCAGGTCACAGAAGAGGCGCCGCATAGCTTGTGCTTTTCCAGCTCCGTGGAGGAGAGCCAAATGGTCCCTGGGGCGAAATTCATCGAACACTGGGGGATTTAACCATGGGATTTAAGCAACCAGAATGTGGATTTATGTGGATTTATGTGGATTTATGTGGATTTATAACGATATGATGGGGATCTAGTTTAACCTCTGGTTTAACCTCTGGTGGTTTTAGTTACATAACTATTAGGAACATTACCATTTACTTCGTGACTTTTCCCATGAAACATGGTGGATCTTTCCAGTTCGCTATGTAAACGTTTACCAGGCCGGGTTTCCTGGATGATCTTTCCAGCAAGCCATCTTTGAATGCCAGATAAATGATGATTTTAATGGGTATTAAAGCCACATTTTGGGGGCTTTGGGATGGGGATGATTTATTGATTTCACCTTCTGAAAGGCGGTGGGATTTAACCGGTAAAGATTGGGATAAAGATTTGGGATATTTTCATCTGCATTTAACGGATGTTAATGGGATATGTATACATAATTATACATATATGTACGCCCCTATATAGTCAACAAGATTATGAACATTTACCAGAAACAACGTTACAAAGGATATTACCCTCCAGAAACATGTTCCGCCGGGAAATCCCCGAACTAAATGGATTATTTTTCCACCATTTTCCGGAGGTTAATGGGTGTCAAAACCATTTTCCGGAGGTGTTTGGGATGGTCTATTAGTATGAGGATATGAGTGGAGATATTTTCATGGGAGAATAAACAATAATAAACAGCAATTCTGGATACTGTACGACTTGGGATATATTGAGGACATAACTAACCACCTTGAACCACCTTGATATGATATTTATTGATGATGCCAATGGTCAAACAGCCAATCATTTTGGATAGATATATAGGGATGCTGTATATGAACCAACAATCATGGGATATAAAATCCCTTGGTGTCATTGGTGATACCATCCCCAAACGTTCTGGGTTGGAAGACTGCGGGCTCCAAATTTACTGACGGGTGGAGGAGTGGGGTGACCGCAGATTTTTTTTGGGGATATTCTTGAATTTCCAAAGTGGATGGTTGAAGCAAAGCAATGACAACGATTCGCGTGTTCCTCGTATATGAGCCTTTGGAACCACAGCCATTTGGGGAATTGGTACTGGAAAGCGGCTTCTAAGCAACTGTTGGAGACGGAATCCTCTCAGAAATGATGTGTTTATTAGCAGCACCAATGACGAAGGCGTGCAAACCTAAATAAGAGTCTGCTTGCGGTTCCAGAATCTTTATGGTTGTGTTCAGCCTGAGGTGCGGGTTGGATGAGCAGTATACTGCAATGTGTGATGTTTCAAATGGACAATTATATAGGAACTCTGCTGAAATCCATAATTTTCCCACGCCTTTGAAAGTCTTTTTTCTTCACCCATCCTGAAGGCACAGCGTTCGATTCAGTTGGCTAAACTATTGTGAACATGAGCAACGGGACTAAATATAAGATGTTCGTCCTGCTGTACATGTTTCTCGCCACTGGACGTTGCTTCAATCCATTCGTTTCTCATCGTATTCCCCGCTTGAAGCATGTGAAAACGCCATCCCGTGGCCATGAATTGGGGGATTGATCATATTGATCATCACATCCCCATTAAGAATGGATCTTCAACATGTTCAAAAACCCTCACTATCCCACGAAAACACCAGAAAAATCGGGAGCCGGGCCCCATGAAGAAATCCATGTGGCGTCGCCAATGATTTCAGGTGAGCTTCAACTTCCATGTGGATGAGCACGGGGATGGCCCGCGGGGGAGGGCTGTTTGGCTTTGCCCACCCCAAATCGCAATTTTCATGGGGGAAATAATCGGAAATGAGATTCTAAACTTCTAAACCATAGGATTTTGGGGTTCTAGAATTTGAGAGGAACAATTTTTTTACTTTTTTCCATTCTGACAGGTTCTTGATGCATAGAGATGCAAATGTTTGCTGACGCAAGCGTGAAACTTGTGGATTTTGGAATGTGATCGCCCTTGTGGAAGTTACCACAGATTTGCCCCAGGATGAATGACTGGTCAGTGTTTTCCCATCCTACCATCTATTGATTGATCTTTTCTTGGGAGCAGATTGACACTCCCAAGCACTCAGTTCGACTGATTCCCCGGCACTGGATGTCAGGCAGTCACCATGACAAGGACCAGATGGACTACGTCACCAAGGAGCATACAGACAAGGTCGAGGAGCGGATGATTTGGCCAAATGTGTGGTCCCCTTTGGCAGTTCGCTAGACCTTGTGGAACAGACATGCTTGCCTTGCCGTATGGGATGCGTGAAAAAAAACTCAAGTTGGACAAATACCAGGCAGACTCGGAGGGTTTGGAACTAGCAAAAAGCACCTCCAAAAACTATAAAACGTGTGATTTAACAGTATTTTATAGTATTCTCGTAGGATCTTTCCCAGCTTCTATCTTTTTTTTTGGGGGGCTTGCTATAAAAGTCAGGATGCAACTCCTCGTGGCTAAAACAGGAGTTGGTGGCCAAATTGGAGGCCAAAGCCAGTGACATCCTGGACCAACAGCAGTACGCCATGGTGCGAGAGGCAGCTTGTGGTAGCTGATAGCTGATTGTGGTGGCCGTTGTTTCCCGCGATGGCTTGGCGGCTTGTCGCGTGGCAGGCTGTTCACAGAGAAACGGCCGAGTCGACCAATGCCAGAGTGATGTGGTGGACCTTTGCTGAAGTTGTCGCTTGGCATGATAGATCGAGCGCACGTGTCGGCGCTCAGGTAGAGCTGATGCTAAGCGGAGAATGGCGCCATAAGCTATGTTGCGTGGATTTTCACGTGCAGATGCAAAACCGTAGCTTGTCAACAGATGCTGAACCCCCAGCATCGGAATTTCAAAGCGTTCTCCGAGGCAGTCCTCATCAGCTTAGCGTTCTTTCAGGCGGGACGTTTCCTCTGGATTCCTTTGGGGCTAAACTGGCGTTTGGCTTTGCATGTCCAGATCAGGCTTGAGTTTGATCTTAGATGGCTATCAATACCTCGCCATACCTCACATCCTCGCCCCCAAGAATGTGACCCAGTCCCTCTCAAGTCTCCCAAGTGCGCTGCTAGGTGTCGTACCTCCGCAACCACTTCGAGCAGAAGCAGGTCGTCTGAGTGCCGTCGGCAGGGCTGGGCAATGTGAAGGGCCTTGGGAGCTCCAAAAGATGTGAGCACCAAGGCGACGCACCAAGGCGATGGAAATGGCTGAGAGAAAGTGCTTTTTGGATGGGATGGTTGCTTTTCAGGCCAAGGATCAATTCATCAATGGATAGGTGGATGGGTAGCCTGAGACCGGCTCCCAGGCATCGACAGCATGTTAGATGAACTGCAGCGTTGTGGGGACCCACAGGTGGTGCCGCGGGTGGATCCACGATGGTGGGCAAAAAACGTTGGGGATGCAACATTTGATGGCCATCTTACACCATGCGTGGGGTTCCGCATTTTGAGACAACCCCACATGACCAGACTGACAGTGGATTCTTGAGGCCCTGACCCTTCAGCCAGGTCACCCTCCCCTGGCGATCATGGGGAGAACTTGGTGAGGAGAGTAGCAGCGCTTGGCTCAAGTTGTTCTATGTAAGGTCCCCATGGACAAAAGTACACTCAAGCCGCCACACCCTTTGCATGTTTAAATAGTATCAGTACACAGGAGGATCTATAGGGTTGAGACCTGGTTTACTGTATACTAGACATTCTTACACATCTTGGTACGCAGGGAACCAGTTGAAGAGGCGATGCCAAAACGGCAATGCTTCGGTTGCTTCGGTTGTCATGAGCGTCATTCACTGCCTCCATCAGTTGGAACTCGCTTTGCATTACGTAGCTTGGCTCTGGGGAACTGGTTGATCTGTTGGGCCCTCAGGAACCCAACAGATTTGTAGACTTGTGGCATTTCAAAACAATTGTATGGAATTGTCATATAATGTGGCAAAATGGTATAAACCAGGCCAAATGGTAGGTTTATGGCATTGGGTTTACATGGGTTTACCACATCCGTGGACTTGGGAGCCTGATGGCCACTGAGGATGCACGGAGCCTTGTGGCATTGCAGCAGACTGCCCCATGCATGCGCACAGCCCTGCAATCTGGGCTACTGGAGGCACATGGGCAAGGGGGGCCCCTGGGCAGCACCTATCGGCTCTGATGACTCTGAAATCTTCAAATTGAACAATTTGAGGCAGTTTTTCCACTTCCACCTGAGGAGAGGGCTCTGTGATGCTTTTTGATGCTATTTGTTGCATCATTTTGACACCAGTCCCGCAGGTGTTCTGCAGGCTGGTGAAGCAACCCATCCCAGGACAATGGGCTCAGCGTTGAAAGGGAAAACAAGGAATTGCCCCCATCCAATGGTTCATACATCTTTTTTGAGCAAAGTTGTATTTATCATATATACACATTATACAGATATCTACACACACATATGTATATATATACATGCACATATATTAATGTGGCAAAGGCAAAGGCAAAGGCAAAGGCAATTTAATAAACTATTTGGGTAGTAGCCAACCATTCAAGGGCCATTTGAGGTCATCTCAAATAATACACATTGGGTAACATACCCAATAATTTTAGCCAACATTGAAGGATGGTTAACACTGAAGGATGGTAACCTGGGCATTGGCTTAAGCTCATGATGCACAAAAACCACCTTGAGACAAACCTGGTGGAGGACATAATCTCATTGGAGCCATCTGGAAGCTTAGCAGCCTGGCGCCCAAAGGCCATGACGCTCAGCTGTGACGTTGGTAGCTGGGGGTCTGTTGAAATGACCAAAACCAGGAATTTTTCAATACTAAAATACTAAAATGATCGGAAATGATCTAAGTTGTTTGATTGTGGGGGAATTGCCATTTTGAGAAGCACTCATGTGATGGCACGTGTAGTGTTTATGGCCTAATCATGCCTATTCCCTGTCGTCGATTGGTCAGCTGCCACAAGCTGCTTGGAATTGTGGCACCAGTATCTCCGCCATGAAATCTCCACGGGCTGAATGGAGTACCCAGCATCAGATCATTGGTTGCAGTCTGCCCCTCGCCTGTAGAGATCACTGATCCGAATGTGAGGAAAGAGCCTGCAGCGTTCTGTGCCACTTGGTGTGCTAAACTAAACTGGCCGGAAACTGCCGGGGAGGGGTTGACCGTTGGCCTTGACCGTTGGCCTGTATATAACTTGATTTCCATTCAGCTTCCTGTCCCAGTGACCGAGGGAAGCGCGTGTCCATCAACATTTGGATTTGACACTTATTGCTCAATTTTTGACCCCCAACATATTTGAATAACCATCCACAATCTCAAACCGTTATCGATAGTGTCAACTGTCATTTCAGGTATTTCGCGAATTTAACCATCAATCCACCAACAAAGATGGTGTGTGGTCCTAAAACTTGCAACAATTGACCCTTGAAAAGGATGGTCTACTGATACAACTTACAAAAAACCTACGACAAGTTTAGAATTAGAAATGTATAGAAATGTAACATAGCCCCTCAACTTTCACAATCCTGCGGAACAAAAATAGCTCAAAAGATGGTTGCCCTTTGGTAATCAAACATGGCTGCAAAATCTGCGGAGTTCGATGATTTCCCAGCAAGAAATTAAAAAAAACCCTTAAAATCTCAACTTATACATTATAGTATATTGTTGTGATTATTTTCTCTTTGAACTCTACATTTATAGACGTTTTTTTTCCTTAAAATCATTTAAAATCTACATGTACAGATGATTTCTCCTTACTTTCCACTTAGAACCTCCTTTTTTCCGGGGAGTTTCCCACCCATGGTCACTTTCAGGTGGGCGCCTGACCCACCGCCGCTGCGGCGTGCGCGAAGCCGCAGTGACGGCGTTGGGGCACGTGGCTGGCGCCGCGGGCAGCCGGCTGGTGCCAAGGATCACCGAGTGCCTCCATGACTACCAGGGTCGAGTACGGGCCGCTGCAGCACGAACACTGTCCTGCTTGGCACCGCGAAATGATGCTGGGCAGATGGGGCACATCCTCCTAATCCCATTTCATATGAAACAGCCCTATGGTATGGTCCCAGTCATATCTATGTGAATCCCCTACGTCCACCATGGTTTCTCGGGGGTGTTTAATATGAACGGGTGATGGGATTAGTCATGAGTCAAAAGCCCATTTGTATTTTGTAGCGCCTCTTCGTTGTGGTAGCTGTGGCGCCTTCATACTTTTGGTATAAGGCAACAGCAGTGCAAAAACAGAGGCCCAGACAAGGAGACGAAAGGATCAACAGACAAAGCAGTAGATGAAGAGATTGACCCATAATCCATTTCCTCGTAACTACATTGTAGACCTACCCCAGAAAGCCGGTTTTGTATTGGATCTATTCATTAAAGCCGGTTTTGTATTGGATCTATTCATTTTGGGGGCCCAGATTGAGGAATCCTTCTGTAGGGCAAAAGTGTTGGAAGCCGGGAAGAAACGCACATATGAATTGGGAAATTTCACTTTGGGTAAGGGATTAGTTGCAGATTAGTTGAGCTTTAGATGCACTGCATGGCCGAGGACTTGACAACGATCCGATCTCTCATGAATCTGCTGGGGGATGATTGTCCTGATGCCTGCCAAGCAGCTGTCACGTGTATCTCCCAGTTGACTGAGACTGGCAACGCCATCGTGACGAGGGTGGGGTGAAGGGTAATGAGCTGTTGAATAGAGGAGCCAAGGCCTCTCCAGATATAAATCAAGGGTTGCTTCTTGTCATCCAGTGCCTGAGGTTGGATGGTATCCCATATGCCATATGGGTTACTTTTTGCTTTGCATTGCTTATGAGCAAGTATTGCTGGTTTCGGGAATGTCATCCATTTTGTCAACGCATGTGATCCACGCCCAAAATTCTCAAAAATGGGATTGTCCTGAACGGGAGGCAATATTGCTCCCTGTCAGCCCGGAGGTATCACTATGATTGCATGGCACAAGGGATTTTGACCCACAACGTCAATCCCAGATTCACCCCCAGCCTAGTCATAAAATGTCATAAATTACATTAAATTACTATACAAATTGGTAATTTCCCCTGTTAGTAACTTGGGGGTTTATGAATCCTGGGCCAACATTACCCAGGATGCAGCCCCAGGAGCTTGCCGCCATGCTGAATTTGGCCGACACGACCACTCGTTGGGCGGCCTTGGAGACGTTGGCGAGAACCAGTCGGAGAGGAGATGATTCCTGGCATTTCCTGGCATTTCCCGTGCTGATGTGCAGCGGTATCCCACATCCAACGACTGTAAAAAATATTGCAACTGGCTGACCTTTCAGAATTCCCAAACACCACCGGGATTCGCTGATGTCTTCTTTCCGGTGAATCCACTTTGGGGAATCTACTGGAACGGGTCATGAGTCATGGCTCTGAGGAAGCTGTGGTTGCCTCTCTGGTGCCCTGCTTGGAAGATGCTTGGTAGCACCCCCTCCCGCTGTCATTTCCAGTTGTTTCTACAACAAGGAGGTAGCACCCCCCAAAAAGGATAGACACGTCATTTCCCACTAAAATAGTGACAAACCATAAATAAATCGTAATAAAACATGATAAATCACTAGACTGACATACTGTATCTATCTTTCTGGGGGTTGCTATACACATTTAATTTCTTGGGTAGATGTTGGTGGATATTCTCCCATGCCTAAAAGTCAGTCGTCTGCCAACGAGGATATGAATCTGGACATCCGCTGCGCAGCAGTGGATGCCTTACGAAGGGTGCCTTGGCGTCCGAACGGCCAGTTTACAGATGTGTGTGTAGTTTTTTGTGCGCAGGAATGAGTAGATGATCAATGTGATGTCGATTATCCAACTATGTGACTATGTGTATATATATATATAATTATGTATACAAAACTGTACGATGCTTTTTGCCCATTCGTATTTGATCCGATATGGGCACGTATTCACGGGTGCACAGTGCAAAGGCGGAGGCATATAGTACTGCATCAGCTTTCACAATGAACCTCTGAAGCACCAGAAGTCTTTCAATGTGAACCGAGTTGGTATGGTACCAGTACTGTGCCACTTCAAGAACACTCCCAGATTATAGAAACGACCCAAGGTTGAAAAAAACATGGTAACAATCCAACCCCCACCAACAAGGGAACAACAGTTCATCATGGATTGATCTGGGTCGGAAAGTAGGGTACCCCATTCCATCTCCCAGTCTGAGACCTTATTTTGAAACCATAGAGTGGGGACCATTGAGTGGGGACCATTTTGGGACCAACCCATTCAGGTAAGATGATCCTGCGACTTCCTAAATGATTCGCAACTGGAATCTAACTCCGATATACCAGTCAGAGGGCGTTTTAGCATCTTATAAGCCAGCTAGAGCAACAAGTTTCCAGTTCATAAGTGCCACCGTGATATAAGAATTGAGCGGGTGTGTGTTCGATATGCATATTATATATATATGCAAGTAAGTAAGTACATTACTAACATATTTCTCTCTCTCTCTCTATAACATGTATTTCCATAGTTCAAGGGTTTATTTCCAAACTCCTGGTGCTCAACAGCGTGGCGGCGCCGAGGTGGCGCTGCACGGCGACCCCGTGGCCGTGCGCGGCGCCGTGGCGCGGCTGGAGCACCGCGACGGCGCGGTGCGCGCGGCGGCGCTGCGGAGCCTGTCCTTTTTGGCGCGGCTCGGGGACGAGGAGGTCATGGCCAAGGTGGGGCCTGGGGCTGGGCTCGAAATCCTCTGGGATGGTTTCACCAGGGTTTCAGCAAACTATGGGGATATTTTAGACTAAAGGATATGCAGAATCTCTGTGGGGAAACTCTGGAGATTTGAAAGAGGGTACAATACAACGGATAAATTCGGATGGATGATTTTGGCATCCAGAAACTGGGAATCTTCAACTGAGGGTAGGGGGTGCTGAAGGCGCAACTAATTGGAGATGTTTTCGCGTTGTTTTCAGCCAATGGGCTTATCTAGGATAATCATGGTGATTTTCTGAATTGTTTGTACGGTTCAACCAATTATTAATTGGTGGTTTTGGCTGATGGTTTGAAATCCCAACAACCCCTCATGAAAGGGATCATACTAACTATGAGGCGCCCGCAGGATTCCAAACCACGAACCGAACATCAGTTGCGACCAATGCTTGACAAGCGGTCCGAAAATAGATATTTCGATTTATACTCTAAATGTTGTATAACTATTCTTCTATGTGATTGATACTGTAAAAATTGATTGATAAAATTCGTGAACAAAAACATGAAAGACTCAGCAAGGTGCAAGGCTCCAGTTGTTGGATTCACATTTTTGGTGATGGGTAGCAGATCTTTGCTGTGACAAAGTTTCCCTGGCTGTGGTGATAAGCATCAGGTTTGAATAACTGTGATAGCTCCGACTCTACCAATTTGAAGGGCGAAAGTGTTTTGGGAAGCCTGCCCTGATGCCCGCTTCGCTGAGATGATCATCTCCCTTAGCTTTAGTAGGAGTCAACAATCAGCCATACAACTCATATCTGCTCGCATCTCGACAAAAATCCTGCAAATGGAATGGTTCTAGTTAAAGATAGTTAACGTAGAGATGGATCATCCAACATCACCAAGGAGTTGAAAATTGTGGGTTTTCCCAGGCGAAGGTCTGTTTGGATGATGGTGTGTCCAACGTCCGGGCGGCCGCAGTGACCACTCTGGCCGAATTGGTGCCCTGCAAGGGTGATGAAGATGCTGCTGGGCTGGAAACTCCCCATCTAAAATGGGGGTTTACAATTTATAGTTGGGAAAATCATCTATAAATGGTGGATTTTCCAGCAAACCATGTTTGATATGTTTGATTGCTGGAGGGTAAATGATTTCCCTCTTTTATGTACGTTTGAATATTCCACCGTTTGGTGTCCCTGGCAAGTGGTAAACTGGTAAATTCAACCATTACAGGTTGAAACCTGTTTCAAGAAGCCAATCTGGGGCTGGGTCAAGGGGATGAACATCCATAACCGGCAGCTCTTCTGATGAAAACAATGGCACCAGGGTTTTCATGAATTTGATCCTCATTGACCTCATTGAGAGCGAGGTCGATGACCCCAGCTTTGGTGGATGACTTTTTCTCTACCTGAGGTCGTTGGCCCTGTAGTCAGTCGCCTTGGGGATTGCGAGGCCATGGTGCGTAGCGCTGTGCTGGAGAGCCTCTTGAAGGCCACGATGAAATCACCGGGGGTGAGGCTACGGCCATGCCATGTCCATTGGGCCAATATTTTGGAGTTCTTATATAGGTGCTAGAGGACCTAGAGGTCTGGGATGATTTTGGTCAACTTTGGTACCGAACCATGCCAGTCTTGGGCCCTGTCTGCCAATGTTTAAGCTCTTCAAAAACGGCTGGCTTGCAAGGGATCCAATGCCACTTTAAAAGAAATGAAACGCCAAGCGTCCGCAGAAGCGTTGGGACGGGCAAGTGGGACGCAGTGCAGTTGGCCAGTTTCGAAGGAAAGTTTTTGCGACTTTGCGCGATTGTCGAGAAGATAGAGATGAGCTCCCAGGAGCAACAAGAAATAACATGAAATGCCAAGAATCACCTATCGTTTTCCTTTACCACAATGTCCGTATCCTTGCCTTTACCTTTCCCTACCTCCGAGTTCTTGCGCCTTGCCTTTTGAGGGCATGCATTCTAACCACCATTTGCAGACCCTCATCTAAATGATGTGTGACACACGTGTACAGGAGCTTAAATCGATTAAATGTTTGGCTGTTTGGCTTTCCTGCAAGTGCAACCACCATGTTTCTCCATACTTTCAATGGAGGTTCACACTCCATTTGAGGGAAACAACGGCCTGCAAGGTGGCCCATGAGGGTGACCTCATCGCAGTGCCAGCCATCTTGGAGCTGCTGGAACATCAGGATGGTCGCATTCGATTGGCGGCCGTGGAAGCCCTTGGGTGCCTTGGAGGATGAGGCCGTGGATGGTTGGTGTGGATTGTTTCATGAGTTTTGGGGGCTGATTAAATTGCTGATTTGTTGGTGATGGCATTTTGCAGAATAGTTGGCCTTAGGTTCTGCGGAAGATCTTTTGGCTTTTGTTGAGACATGTCCAGACCAGGTGTACTTTTTTATTTTTTTTTCATGTCTGAAAGTCCCATGAGTTCGTTCCCCAATCTCCTGCACCGGATTGCGCCCCCGAGCGGACCCGCTGCTGGCGCCGAGCCGAGGCAATTGGCTCCAAAGAATGACGCCTCCATCATTTCCACCGTCGCCAGCTTCATGGAAGATCGACACACAGGGGTTTGCTGCACCGCCGTGCAGGCGAGCCGAAAAAGATGCCGAAGAGTTGCATTCGTGGTATTTTTTGTTGGACGGGGCAGCTTTGAAATGGCATTTTACTGCTACAAATTTGCGATATTTTTTGATATTTAATTATATATACACATATAATATAATATATATATATATACATATGTATATACATATGTATATATTTAATTTGTAGTATGATTGGCAGCGTTCCCCATCACTGGTTATTGAGAGTGAACTCATCAGTGAAACTCATCCCCGAAACAGTTCTATATTATTAGATTTCAGTGTTGTACCCGTTCCTTTTTGTGAAGATCTTTCGGCTACACTCGCCGTGGTAAGAGTGCAACTTTTGCTGAATGTCCGGTGCAAAATATGGCTACGTGGATGCATCATCTACTGACAAAGGTGCAGCAGATGAACCTGATGAGGTGGACCTTCAGATGCTGTGCTTGACCGGAGAAGGAGTGAAATTGAGCATCAGTCACTCCATGCTTGGGTCTGACTTGCGCAGGTTGGTGTCAGAGAAGCTTCCATGCAAGCCAGGCGCAAAGCTCGTCGTGCATCACGTGAATAGACGGCTGAAGCTGGATCAAAACTTGGGTCAGATTGGGTCAGCAAGGGATTATTGGAAAATCTGCAGCGCTGTCCTGCATTTACGTTCCAACTAATGTGTATACAGCATGGCGTTGCGTCTTGGATCTCCCAAATTGTGAGCGCGAGTTTGTGCTGGAAGGCGTTACACATCTTGAAGGAGCACCGCATGGAGTATATATATAATTACATCATCTCCCCGACAGCCTTGCAAGCATCACTTTTGGCCATGGGGTTCCAACCGAAGACTGGAGCAGGTGTCATTGCCATCGAGTCTACGAAGCTTGAGTTTTGACTGCAGTTTCAACCAAAGCCGGTGACCTTGCCATCGAGTCTTGAAAGCTTGTGTTTTGACTACAGTTTCAACCAAAGCCTGGAGCGTGTGACCTTTCCATCCGGCCTTCAAAACTTGAGTTTTGGCTACAATTTCAACCAAAGCCTGGAGCACGTGACCTTGCCATTGAGTCTTCAAAGTTAAAGCTTGAGTTTTGACTGCAGTTTCAACCAAAGCCTGGAGCGGGTGACCTTTCCATCCGGCCTTCAAAACTTGAGTTTTGGCTACAATTTCAACCAAAGCCTGGAGCACGTGACCTTGCCATTGAGTCTTCAAAGCTTGAGTTTTGACTGCAGTTTCAACCAAAGCCTGGAGCGGGTGACCTTTCCATCCGGCCTTCAAAACTTGAGTTTTGGCTACAATTTCAACCAAAGCCTGGAGCACGTGACCTTGCCATTGAGTCTTCAAAGCTTGAGTTTTGACTGCAGTTTCAACCAAAGCCTGGAGCGGGTGACCTTTCCATCCGGCCTTCAAAACTTGAGTTTTGGCTACAATTTCAACCAAAGCCTGGAGCACGTGACCTTGCCATTGAGTCTTCAAAGCTTGAGTTTTGACTGCAGTTTCAACCAAAGCCTGGAGCGGGTGACCTTTCCATCCGGCCTTCAAAACTTGAGTTTTGGCTACAATTTCAACCAAAGCCTGGAGCACGTGACCTTGCCATTGAGTCTTCAAAGCTTGAGTTTTGACTGCAGTTTCAACCAAAGCCTGGAGCGGGTGACCTTTCCATCCGGCCTTCAAAACTTGAGTTTTGGCTACAATTTCAACCAAAGCCTGGAGCACGTGACCTTAACCAAGGCCTGAAGCGGGTGACCTTGCCATCAAGTCTCCAAAGACTCGGTTTTCAGTGGTGGCCGTTCGTCCTGCTGGGTCTGTCTCAGTTCCGTATCCAGTGCTTAGTTCGTTGCACAGGTTCCCCGATGGATATGGGAGCGAAAGAGTCTTGCGTTGCGATTCATTCTTGATTGCTGGAGGCGATGCACTTTTTTGAAGATGTGGAATCTAATTTAAATTTAAATGAGTTGGAGGATATTTGATATTGGGGTAGGTTGTGTTGATATATGGGAGATCGAGATAGATTACCTTTTAGATGGCATTGGGTTTCCCACATTTTTCCAAACGGGTATCCCATCAATATACGAGTAATTAAACATAATGGTTACCATACTATAGTGGATACTAATGGGTATGGATACACTATAGATATTATACTTTCCCACATGAATAGTACTAACTATAGGGACATCACCAAGCCCGCCAAGCCCTGAATTTTTCGCTGGATGAACCAATGGGATGACTCTAGTAATATATAATAGCAAATAATAGTAACTTATAGTAATATAGAATAAGTAACTATAGATAAGTAATATATAATATATCATCAAATAATAGTAATTATGTTACTATATATTCCTATGATTCTAGAACATATAGTAACATAGAGTAAGTCAAACTTCCCGAGCCTGGCCAGGTCCTGGGCCACCTGGGTGCCGACGACGCAGCTTGCCGCGCGCGGATCCGCGCGCGGCGGGACGACTTGGTGGCAGCGCAGCCGGTGAGGGCGGCCGCGGCCTTCGTGTTGGGGGAGACTGAGGGGTGCTAAGGATGGGTTTTCCATAGCATCCCAGGTACGAAGGGGTTAGAATATGCCAGTAAGTTATAATAGGACACAAAAATACATAATTGTGCATAGAAAGCGTTTTCTGGATTATTTTTCCGTCTTTACTGGGTTAGAAGTAGTACCGCACAAGACGGTGGCGGAAGTTTCAAAGATAGGAGGCTGTAGGAGAGGTTGGTTGTTGTGAAGCACGGATGGCAGAGCGAATCCGCTGATGGACCGAAAGGTGGTTGGAGTTGTGTTTTTTGGAGTGGTTGCAATGATCGCAGTGGTCACCTCACCACAACTGCTGGATGTAGTGTGGTGTAGTGCAGTTGTAGTTGCAGTTGTAGTGTAGCGTAGTGGAGTTGTAGTTGTAATGTAGTGTAATTACTGTAGTGTAGTTGCAGTTGCTGTTGCAGTTGTAGTTGTGGTGTGGTGTTATTAGTGTAGTGTAGTGTGGTGTAGTGTAGTGTTGTGCACTGTAGTGTGGTATAGCGTGGCCTAGTGTAGTGTAGTGTAAAGTAGTGTAGTTGTAGTTGTGGTGTAGTGTAGTGGTGTACTGTAGCGTGGCATAGTGTAGTGTAGTGTAGTGTAGTTGTAGGTGTAGTGTAATGTAGTGGTAGTAGTTGTTCTAGTTGCAGTTGTAGTGCAATGTATGTTAATTCGTGTTAGTGTTGTGCAATGTAGCGTAGTGGTAATTGTAGTGGTAGCTGTGGTGGAAGAAGTAGCAGGAGTAGTAGGAGTAGAAGTAGCTGTAGTAGCTGTAGTAGCTGTAGTAGTAGTAGTAGTAGTCGTCGTCGTAGTAGTCGTAGTGGTCGTCGTCGTAGTAGTAGTAGTAGTAGGAGTAGGAGTAGGAGTAGGAGTAGGAGTAGGAGTAGGAGTAGTAGTAGTAGTAGTAGTAGTAGTAGTAGTAGTAGTAGTAGTAAGTAGTAAGTAGTAAGTAGTAGTTAGTAGTTAGTAGTTAGTAGTTAGTAGTTAGTAGATAGTAGCTAGTAGCTAGTAGCTAGTAGCTAGTAGCTAGTAGCTACAGTAGATGGACAAAATATTCAAACCCTGCAGCACGAACTATGTTGAACCCCCGCGCCCCCAAATCTCAATGTTTCAGTGCGCGTGTTAGCAAAAGTGATGTTAGGGGTTTGATTTTTTTTTCGTCCATTGGGGCTAACGCACTTCAGGTTACAATAACATTGAACTTTGGGGGCGAGGGGGTTGTACCGGATAGAAGGGGTTTGAATATTTCGTCCATCTACGGTAGTAGCTAGTAGCTAGTAGCTAGTAGCTAGTAGCTAGTAGCTAGTAGCTAGTAGCTAGTAGCTAGTAGCTAGTAGTTAGTAGTTAGTAGTAGTTAGTAGTTAGTAGTTAGTAGTTAGTAGTTATATAGTAGTTAGTAGTTAGTAGTTATATAGTAGTTAGTAGTTAGTAGTTAGTAGTTAGTAGTTAGTAGTTAGTAGTTAGTAGTTAGTTAGTAGTTAGTAGTTAGTAGTTAGTAGTTAGTAGTTAGTAGTTAGTAGTTAGTTAGTATTTAGTAGTTAGTAGTTAGTAGTTATTAGTGGTAGTAGTGGTAGTAGTGGTAGTAGTGGTAGTAGTGGTAGTAGTGGTAGTGGTAGTAGTGGTAGTAGTAGTAGTAGTAGTAGTAGTAGTTGTAGTTGTAGTTGCTTGTAGTTGTAGTTGTAGTTGTACTGTAATTAGTGTATTGCAATGTAGCGTGGTAGATTTGCATTTGTAGTTGTAGTTTAGTGTAGTGGCAGTGGTAGTTGCAGTTGTAGTTGTCTATCTATCTATCTGCCCACCTCCAAGCTTGAAAACGAAGCTATTCTGCGAGAGCTATTGAGCTATTCTGCGAGACTTCCTCGCATTTTTGAATTTGACAACATCAGAAGCGCAGCAATCCTGCGAGACTTCGTCAATTTTTCAAGTTGACAACATCAAAAATGAAGCAATTTGCAGAAGCAATTCTGCGAGACTTCGTTCAAAAATAGAAAGTTGAGTGCAGAGCCGACGGCCTCGTGCCAATGCATTTTGCGATTTTTCCAGCCCATGTGTCTAAAATATTGCACCTGCCACGAAAAAGTGATGCCAGGTCATATGAAGTGCTGCACTTGTCACACAAAATCACCTTACCAAACCTGACGATCTGATGCTCCAAAATCCAACTCCTCTCAGGAAATCAGCGCCCGGACCTCCTAACATCTCTGATGAACATGTCTCTTGTACTGCGCCTGCCACACGAAATGCATCTTTACGGATCCTCTTGAAATGTCCCACGCCTGCCATCGTTTTTGGAAATGCTGCAAAACCCTCACGTTTTGCTCAAATTTGAAAAGGTGCACAATCCCTTGCGCTTGTCACGCGAAACGACATCTGAACGTCCAAAAGTGCTCCGAACCCGTCAGTTTTTTTTGCACTTTTGACTTCGAAATGTGCTTCGAGCCACAACGGTATACACTTTTTCGACATCTCAACTTCCAAAAATGCGCCGAGAATGGTTTATCTTGTACATTTTGATTTGGAAACGTGCTTCGCGCCACAACGGCGTGCACTTTTCCATCATCTCAGCTTCCAAAAGTGGTCTGAGACCGTAAGTTTTTTACACTTTTGACTTCGAAATGTGGTTCGCGCCACAGCGGCGTGCACGTTTTCATCATCTTAACTTCCAAGAGTAGTCGGAGACAGTCCGTTTTTTACATTGTTCACTTCGAAATGTGGTTTGCGCCACAACAGCGTGCACTTTTCCATCATCTCAACTTCCAAAAGTGGTCTGAGACCGTCAATTTTTTACACTGTTGACTTCGAAATGTGGTTCGCGCCACAACCGCCGTGCACTTTTCCATCATCTCAACTTCCAAAAGTGGTCTGAGACCGTCAATTTTTTACACTGTTGACTTCGAAATGTGGTTCGCGCAACAACGGCGTGCAATTTTTCATCTCTCCTCATCCCCCCAGATGGCTTCCTGCACCCGCCGCTTTAGCGAGCCTACTTTCCGACCCTCCGGAGCCACAAATCATTGGAAAAACGCAGTGTTTCAAGACTTTGCTACCTTTTCGCGCAAACGATGTTTGAAACAATTTCACCATAGGAGTGTGACATTCTTTATATCTTTTCTAGACGTGAAAAAAAAAGCAATACTCTCACTGCGGTGAGGGGGGTGCTTCACAGGAACATTGGTTTTCGATGGGTTTGGGCCGGGAAGTAACAGGTCCAGGTGGAAATAGTATTATTTCAGCAGATCCAAACTAGTTCCGGGCTTCCACTGCCAGTTAAATAAGATGGCCCATCCCTGCATCAGTCCAGTAACTCTCACTGGGTTCCTTCGGCGTCTATTCAGCGTTGGTGATGATTCCACAGCCGTTCGCCTCACCCTTGCTACTGTTATATGGCCACGGGCCATGATTTTCGAACAAATGATCAATTTGTGGGCCCATTGGTCCTTCAATGTTGAACAATCGCCATTTGATTGGATCTTGTTTTTAGCTGGGAAACCCAGCCCAGAAGCAGCCTTTCAACCAAACAAACGCTGTACGCTAGATCTGTTTGCGGGACAACTTTGATGCGTGAACAGAAGAGACCGTCAGAGTCGCAAAAGGCGATGTTGGCGGTGGACACTTATTTAAAATGCGTCATCATGCTGCAGAAAAACCGTGCGGCAGCCAGAGCTGAACGACAGATTGCCATGAAATGCCATGAATATCAATCAATTTGCTAAATTGAAGCCTACTGAAATGCATGAACCAAATTGCATTATGGGTGAGTCAGATTGTTGTCCAAGTGTGATGGCCTACCATGGTCAAGAGTTAGATGATATATCAGGGGATGGTCATACCACCCCGAATAGGGAGGAACAATTGCCAAGTTAAGGACGCCCAACAACGTCAAGACGACAATTACTTACAACCCGCTTATACCATGGCTTATACCGTGCTTTGACTATGGCACATTCAAGTAGAGTGATGAAATTATGTATGCGTTACCAATCACTCGATGTTCCCCTCTGTTGATCCATCACTCATGGACCCTACCAGCCCCTGGTAATTTATAGCCTGGCGATGTGCTCCCCATTGATATATCCATTCATAAATGATTTTCAAACGATTCAGGATTTTCAACCGTCATGCTCGGCTATGAGAGAGAACATGAGGTTTTTCACGTTTTGCTGGTGAAATTCAATGTTTTGTTCGTTCCCTTTCAATGTTTGTGCTGGTTGCGTCACCATTCTTGTTGGTCAAGTCATCTGGATAAGATATAACGACGACCTGCGACCTCACTGGAACGATGGTTTGTAGGGGTAACTATCCCAGCACAACCTGATGTCAGGTCAGTGAATTATATTGAAATATGACAATCTCCCCAGATCCATATCATTCCATACATTCAATGGATCTTAAATGGTTCATATCAACTTTAGTGGATTATTTCATAGATTATTTCATAGATTAAATCCACGTGGGAGGATGGTTAGGATCTTTATCCTAATAAATTCTTCATTTCCAGCAATCCTACGATTGCGCAGCTTGCGCACGAACCGAGGTCTAGGAACCTTCCAAGCCAAGACTGCTCGCAGTTCCATCGTCTCCCGGCATGTCTCGAGGGGTTGCTGCTGATTTTTGTCTGATAGGAGGACCGGCTTCTCAAAAATGGAACGAGACTTCACATATCTTCACAATTTTAGGTGTTTATTAGCGCAATGCTTATTGCAATGTTGTTGTTGTTGTTGTTGTTGTTGTTGTGGTTGTGGTTGTGGTTGTGGTTGTGGAGTGGTGGTGGTGGTGGTGGTGGTGGTCGCCGTCGCCGTCGCCGTCGTCATTATTTGTTGTTATTCATGAACAATCCAACATTATCATCTATTTAGACGGGTGAAGTTTGGATTCTTATCCATCAAGACTCAGTGGTCTCGTTAGTCACAATGGAAACCGAACAAAGCATTGAGTCATATCATGATTCGCATCAAGGCAATGGGAGTCTTAGCGCTGGAGATGGATAAGGTTTAATAAAGTTTAATACATGATACCATTATATAATACATCATTACCATGTGGTACGAGATGACAAGATATGACATGACAAGATCAAGATGCCATCGGAGGTGGTTCCCAAGTTCCCATCATGCACTTTATATGCATTTCAGCCAGGAGAAGCTGAATCAAAACCAGAACTTGTCCGGACTGCTGTCAGGTACTCAGGGCGGTAGATTGATCATCCCATCAGCCTATCCCCAACTTAGTCTCTTCGACGGTTCCGAGGCTCCCGGGGACGCCCTTTGCAAGCCGCTTGGCCTCGGATGTCACATCCCATCGACGTTCAAGCAGCGGGGGCCACGTGGCTCAAGTTTCAGTGGTGTTTCCCATGGATTAAACCACCTCGCACACAGTTGACTTACACACACACACAAAAAGAGCAAAGACAACAAAGGTAAAACCCACATCCAATCGTACTGGTAGCATCGACTTTGGGCACATATCCCAACACGTTTGCACAAAAAAATGGGCCCTCCAGCACCTGATGGTTCTGTGGCTGCTTTCAAGCCGCAGGCCTGGGAACTTTCTTCCGAATGGGGTGCTTTGACGTTTCAAGGGCGGCTTGCCTACTCTACCGTATAGCGTTTCACTTTCACTTTTGTTTGGGTTTGTGGTCATCCAAGCACCAAGCAGCTTCCATGATTCCTCCATGACTTCCCCAAGCTTTGGCTCGAAAACGGTCCGCCTCACCGCCCTCGCCATGCCCTCTGCTTCGAAAATGGTCGTTGCAACCGCTGCTGCGGCGGCTGGCGCGGCCTTCGTGACTCCCATGGCAACACAGACTGCGGCCCCCGTGCGCAGCCATCCAGCAGCTTCCAGCCGTGGTGCTGTGGAAAAGGGGCAAGGAACAGTGGCAATGGTAGGAGCTTTTGGGGGTAATTGGGATTGGGAGGATGGGGGAAGGATGTTTTTAGGATGGCATCACAAGACTATTGTTTCTGCAAATTATTCTATTGTGTGCATGTTGGTTGTCTATGTCTGTGACTGGTACGTGCTTGGAAGATGCCCCATTGTATTTTTTGTGGCGTGGTAATGCCAACCGGTTGTTGATTTGCTGCGAGCTTGGAATGACTGAACGAAGGCATAGATATTGAAGTGAATGGCAGTGAATGGTATTGATGAAGGAAAGCTATATTCATTCGTTGGTGCAGGTTTCAACGGCGAAAATTGATGCATCACTCCTGTTCTTGAAGTCTTAAGGTCTTAACGCCCGAAAACGCGAAATGAATGGTTGGCCATAGCACTTTCTCTGCTTAGGGGGTCCCTTGCATCAACTGGTGCCCCCGTAGGAGCTGTGGGCGTCATGGCCGCCATGTCCATGGGACGTGCCCGGAACACCCCAAAGAGTTCCTCCCGGGCGAGTGCTGCGCGGGTTGTCGCAAAGGCGTCCAAAGTGGACTGTGTGTGCATCTTGGGCAGCGCCGGCGCGGTGGGTCAGGAGCGACGTGGGAGCAAGGGATATAATTTATATGTAAAGTTAATGAAGGTATATTGACAATCATGAATAAATAACTATAAATACAATAAATAAATAAGTAAATCAAGAAAAAAATATATATATATAATACACGTAATATAGTGACGGCAACATATACTGTAGTCTATATAGTAGTACCTATATAGTCACACAGATATAGTAAATGGCACTACTAATTTGAATTGTATAGTATAATGAACATACCGTGGCCCATGGTATGCCCCTCAGTCCATCACTTCAGGAGATGCTGAAGTGCCTGGAAGATCGCGACTTCCCCACAGAGAAGGCCAGCCCTGAAGCCCTGAAGTCGTCTGAAGCCACAGATTCGTTCGACATGTTCCCCACCATATGATCATTGGATTGCTTTCAGGGAAAATTTACAGGAGACCCCATTCAATTTGATGGGGAAAACCCTGGTGTTCTGGTTAAGATTTTGCCTAAACCAATTCAACTGATATGAGGACAAACCATCCATTCGGGTCTTGGGCCGCCAGGTGCGGCTCTTTGGAAATCGATCGGCCGGGACCACCGTGAAGTCTGAGAAGTTTGGAGACATTGTGGTGGAGAAGCTGCTTGAAGCCGGAAGTCTCATTGCTGTTGGCTTGTTGACCACTTTGCGCGGAAAGGGCAGACATGGAAATTCAGTGTCAGATTGGAACGGTTCTGCCCAGATGCCACGTCCAAACAGATTGTCGTTTTCTGCTGGCCCAGTGGCTCTGGATCCCCCAAGGTTCTCGCTTGAAGCGGTGCAGGAGTGCGACATTTGCCTCATGGCTGTCTCAGGCCGCGCAAATGTCGACGAAGCTGAATCAAAACCTCTGACTTGGTATGACTTGATCAAGGTTTTGTTATCCATAACCCGTAGAAAAATGGTATGAAAAACCCATAGAAAAATGATCACAGTCGCTATCCCAAACCCACTTTTCTGTGGGTTTTTCTTGGCCCATTTTTGTTGGATCCCAGCAGATCCCGAGCAGGCGACTTCTCCTTGGAATGGGCTCCCAAGCTCCTGGACTCCA